TGGGCTGGAGGCCCGTAGGCAGGGGGCAGGGCGCTGTAGGAGGGGCCCTCGGTCTTCATCATGGACTGCAGGCTCTGGTAGCCCTCTCCGGACATGAAGGAGCTGGTGGGGGACATCCCGGTTATGTAGCTGGAGGGTGGCGGCGGTGGTGGCCGGTGTGGCAGCGGTGGTGGCTGGTGCACAGGGGCCGGGTGGGCCGGAGGAGGAATCTGGACTTTGGGGAGGTCACTGGCATCCACAGGGCCTGGTGGCTCAGCCTCGCCTAAGGCAGCCGCGAGGGGAGGCTTCCGGTCTGCAGTGGAGAGACGAGTCAGTGCCCAGCAGCTCCACAGACGCCATCCCCACCCCATCACAGCACCAGAGTCTAAGATCTACAGCAACCTGCCCAGATGGGGGCAATGTTCACACACCGGCAGGGCTGTTTTCCTAAAATTGATTCTAAACTCACTTTTCCTGGGTAGTTCTGCATTTCTGGATGTGACCAAATATACTTAGAATTTACAACATCCTCAAAACATCTGTGTAAAAGTTTTCTGAAAGATCCTTGGTCGTTACTGTTTTAATATTTTGGCTGCAAAGTCTCCCATCTATAAACTTTCCCTTAGACCTCCCAAGCCTGCCCCTCAAAAAGGTAGAGAGAAAAGCTGGCACCCCACAGCTCTCAGCAGACACTGACCTGGTGGTGGGTGGGCCGGAGGCAATGGAGGGTGAGTGGTCTCTATTTTGGGAATTTTAGGTGGTGGTGGTTCTACGAAGAAAAAGATTAAAAAGCACTCATATCTCTTCATGTAATAAACATATTATAGGAAAAATAAAACGGACTGTTCAGGAATTTCTTTGGGGAAAAAGAGCAGATAAGAACGTTTTAAGGGTACTTGAGGAAGGCCTCAGCTATATCAGCATGCCCTGGCCTTGGTTGAGCGTTGTCCCATGAACTGAGAGGTCACAGTTCAATTCCCAGCCAGGGCACATGACCAGGTTGCAGGCTCAATTCCTTGTAGGGGGAGTGCAGGAGGCAGCCGATCAATGTTTCTTTCTCCCTTCCTCTCTCTAAAAATCAATAAAAAAATCTAAAAAAAATAATAAAATGAATCATTATGTACTAATCCTTTTAAAAGAAAAAAACAAACACAACTCTGATCTCCTACCTCCCCTCTAAAAAGGAAACTAACCCACTATCCCCTTTTCCACAAAGTAAGCCCTTCCAACAACTTGAGAGCAGCACAAAACCACTTCCGTGACCGGTGTGACTTGCTAATACACAGAACACACAGAAAGGCCCCGGATGCTCACAAGAAACCACTACCTTTTAACTCTTATTTAGTTGCATTTCCAGTCTATTTTCTCTCACCAATACTTGCTCCATTTGGCATCCCCTTAGAAGTCACCATTAGAGAACTGGAGGAGAGCGACCTTAAGTGCACTTGCTTAAGCCAAGAAGTTGGGGCCACTTGGGGCAGAGGACACAGCCCACCCTTCAGGGTCGAACACCTGCATGTGACCAGCATCCGCAGTGACGACACTAAATCGCACAGATAAGGCTACACCAAGTCCAATCGCTTCTGTTTAGAAAGTAGAGGTGTGCACACATGATGGAAAAAGAACGCCATCTTTTTGTTTGTATGTTTTGGCCCCTTCTGAAACTCACTTCATCGGGGCTTGCACATCACTGATCTGATTTTGCCCCGGTATTGCTGATCACTTTCTTGGTTTCCTCTCTCAGACTTAGGCTGGTTCAAGGTGTGGGGACGTCTCTCCCTTTATCATCAGGGGGATGAATCGACGTCTCTAGCTTCTATCTCACCTCCAAAACCGGGGACCTGACTTTCAAGTCCCATCCCTAGATCCAGCAGCCAGCACCTCGCAGGCAGCCTTTTCCTCCATCTCCTGACTGGTATCCCTCTCACCTAAGTTCTCCCTCCAACCTTCCCACCGCCAGCCAAGCTAAAGCTGTCCAACAGAAATATCAAAAGAGCCACCTATGTAATTTTTAGTTTTCTAGCAGCCATGTTCAGAACAGTTAAAATTAATTTTAATATTTAACTTGATATATTAAAAAATTGATCATTTCAATGTATAATTAACATAAAATTCATTAATAAGATTCTCTGCATTTTTTGGGGGGGGGGGCAGAGAAAAAAACATGGATGTGAGAGAGAAACATTGATGGGTTGCCTCCTGTATATGCCCCAACTGGGGATTGAACCAGAAACCTTGGTACTGGTATGTGCCCTACCTGGGAACTGAACCCGTAGCCTTTTGGTGTACGGGACGATGCCCCAACCAATTGAGCCACTGGCCAGAGTTACATTCCTTTTTCTTACTAACTCTCAGAAATCTGGTGTGTACTTGCACTGAGGGTACCAGGCCATTGGAGTGGGCCACACTGTCAGTCCTCTGTAGCTACTTGCACGTACTGTTCTGCTCAGTCAGATCTCACCTCCAGGCTGTCTGACCCTCCTTTCCTGGGCCTCTGGCCATTATTCTGACTCTTCTCTCACCAGGTCTCACCCAGATGCTGGCAAAGTCCTTCCCATTCCCAACCATCTGTGCTATTACTACTGCCAGGAAACTTTCTAAAATGAACTCAGACTTTGCCATGCTTCTGCTAACCAACCTCCCATGGCTCCCACTGCCTATGCAAAATCGGTCCCTCCAAGTAGGTAGGCGCTGTCATCCACTCCAACCACATTTCACTCCTCTCAGAAGTGATGCCCTTTCAGCTCTTCCTGTTCCAGGAAACTCCTCTCTCCATTTACTTCCAATTCCTTTGCTCACCTGCCTCCTTCGACCTACAGGCTCTCCGCTCTCAGCTCTAGTTCTTCTCCAAGGTCACCACTGGCTGTCTCTACCTCTCCAACAGATGCTGCAATCAGCTCAGGATGACGGTATATAACTGCTTTTTGGTGTCTCACACTTTTTGCTCATTCAGAACTAAAGAAAAATTTACCTGTGCTGAACTCATCATTCCCCCAAAGATACTGCGAAACTCGTAGCTTTACTGTAACTTGAAGATCTCGCCAACAGTACCAGAGATCATTCCCTGAGGTCCTACCATGGAACTAAGCAACAGAGACACAGAGACAAGTGGACACTGTGCTTCAAAGAGCTCAGCACAACAGGGCCAATGACACACAAAGCGCTTCTCACTTTCTCTTCTGTAATCTTTCAGATTTTGCTCACTCTTTATTTGCTTCCAACACAGAAACAAATTAACCAACTCTGGGCTCTACTACCTATCTATAATAATAAAAGCATAATATGCTAATTAGGCCAGGCATCCTTCCGGATAACTATCCGGATGATGCCACGGCGGCGGGAGAGGGGGAGGGGGGAAGGGGAGGAAGGTGGGGACTGAGGTAGAGGCAGCTGCCATGGCAGAGGAGGTTGAGGCAGCGGAGGGGCTGAGCCCCTTGAATGAATTTTGTGCATCGGGCCTCTAGTGTCCATATAAAGGCGTCTGACAGAGGCCTGGTGCCATCAGCAGCAGGGCTGGCCGTGTGGTTGGTTCTCTGGGCAACACCCTGCCCACCACGCAGTCCTTTCTCCACACCATCCTGCCACTTGGTGTTCAGGATGGGGACACCCAGGGCACTTCACTTTCTTCATGTTTTACTGTGTCACACTCCACTAATCTCTAACAATATATATTGTGGCAACTGGTCTCCTACATTCATGATGACATTTTATATATGCGACTCAGTACATTGTTATTGATACCTTTCATCAAAATATATTCTAAAAATAGAGTTGGGATAAACAGAAGACAATGTGTTTTCTGGCAGAGTGGGTCAAGTTTGTGATGGGGTCTTTAAATTTTAAGGCCAATCTAATCAGAAAAGAAACCATGTTGACTAAGAATTTAAAGTTTTGATAAGCAGACATATAAAACTAAGAAACAGAACTGGAAATTACCTGCTGCTTTGTTCTCTTCTTTGGGAGAAACAACCTGTTGCAAAAGAAAACACAACCGTTAACCCAGACCCGGGAAGAGTGAGAAAAACAGACGAACCAGGCACAAAATCACAGCAACAGAATGTGGCCTCACACAAAACGATGTTGGCTTAACTTGCAGGGCAAACCTGCCACCTGCAGAGCACCATTCTGCTTCCTTCCCCTTTCCCTGTCCGGAAATATTCCCTTGTCTCAGTTCTGAACACTGAGTCTCAGGCCTCTAGTGCACTGCCCTGTTCGATCAGCAGAGTTGGCTGATACCTATATATCCTGCATGGCTTCTTCTAAGGACTGAGTAACAGCAAATGCTGGCCTGCCAACATTGGGAGAAATTTCTACCAATACTGTCACTTAAAGATACAAACACTACAGCCCTGACCGGTTTGGTTCAGTGGATAGAGCGTTGGCCTGCAGACTGAAGGGTCCCAGGTTCGATTCCGGTCAAGGGCATGTACCTTGGTTGT